CACTTCTTGGAAGTACCTGGCTTTCCTTCCCAAGTGCCTTCTAAACTCTTAATTTGCTTTTCCTGTTGATCTGTGGCAGATCAGTGCCACCTTACTAATGGATTGCAGAGGCTGAGAATGAAGATAATACTCAGGGATACTTTGGTCAGTGTTGTGGTGTGTTTTTAGCTTCCGGGTTCCTTCCTCAGGTGTGCCAATATTCCCTTCTCCCTTCCCCCTCGCCCCTTGCTGAGTGTGCCCTGTCAATCAGGTTTAACATTCCAGCAAGGCGTCGTGTGGTTGGTCATGCTCCTCAGGCCTGGGGGACATTGGACCGTATAGGTGTCCCTAGTCTCTTGAGACCCTGCCCCTTTCACCTGGTTGGTAGCTCACCTGTCCCCTCCCCTTCCCCTGTCCCTGAGCTTAAAAGGTTAATCAGACCATGCGGCCTCCATTCTGGTGGAGCAGTTGCCCCGGTTCAGACCTCTGTAACCATGGAATAAACATCTGGACATTCAACCCTCCAGCGGAATCCTCTCCTTTCTCTCTTCACCATCGCCAGAAGCTCTCTCTTCTGAGGTAAACGGAGTTCCTGACAAGCCTGGACTTGTTCAGTGCCCTGCTGCAATCTCCAGCAGCCAAGGTATCTCTGGGGTGAGTTACACCACAGTGCTGCCTTTGGCCCAGCAGCGAGGGTCAGAACTAGCCCAGGCACCATCTAACTAGTAATATTGGGATTCTTATTCCAATAGGTCAGAAACCAGGAGACAGACCACCATCAGTCAAAGCAGAGATCTCAACTGTGAAAGGGTATGCTAACCAATTCCCAACATCATCATCTTATGTGCCAATATAACCACAGTTCATAACACCTAGACCTGGATAGTTGCTGCATAAAAACCTTCTAATTAAACTCCAAGAGATGGCTAGTGTAGTAAACAATTTAATGAGTAGGTGGCACTCTTTACTCTGAGCCACTCTTGAACCAGGACCCAGAAACTGCGGAAGTGTTACACAGTAAAATAAGTGGGACACGGTCATTAGCAGTGTGCTCTGCAGCATTGCATTTCTGTTGGGAAATACTTTTTACTTGGATGCAGGCCTCTCCTTAAGCTCAGTAAAGCTGGCACCTTTATAGGTGATATCTTCTCACACACTTGGAAGAAAACTGCCTGGACTGGGTCAAACTCTGCCTACCTACTTTGCTCACTGTAAGCAGAGGAACAGCAACAATCAAGTCTTCTGTCTTCACAGATCAGATGAAATCTCTTAATGCCCTGTTTTCTCATAAAATGCATAAGCTGAATCTTCTTCCATTTTAATCTGCCTTCCTAATTTTTTGCAATAAAGCCTATGTATTTGAAATAAGCATGAAAAAAAGAATGTGTTCTCTATTGCTTGGTTTTGTTTCACAGTTACCTGCTTTCTCTTTCCCTCAGTTCATATTTTACTATGGCATTCATGAAGTCCTCTCTATGGAGACAGAGGGCTTGATTCTGGTAAAGACAAACCACTTGAGAAACCACCTTGGGTTTCCTCAACAGAGCAACAGTGTCACCATCTCTACCCCTGACTCTGCCTCCCCCTCACACCCAGTCAGCAGCACACAAACATTACATAAAGCTGCTCCTCTGCATCTACTTGTTCTGGTGCCAGCAAAGATGAGAGGAACTCAGGAACTGAGAGCTGAATATGTATTTATACAGAGGCAAGAAATGTCTATTAAATGCATAATTTGACCTCTACAAATGAAAATGAGAAATGTTTTAAGTAAATTATTTATTATCTTTAGTAAAAATATGACATAAATCCCTGACTATATCACCTTGCTCCAAGGAAGCAAATCCTGCATTTGTATTAGTTGCACTGGCAACACTGAAAACTGAAGACCCATTCACAACATTTAGAAATGGTAGCTGTAAGTTTAGTGGGTTTTGATGGTTTAAGAAGTATAAAAGTAATCAAACATCATTAGGGAAATACTATGCCAAAAAAAGAAATGCAGAAGCAGATTAACTTCAGAATATGAAGGGTTTCTTTGAAAAAGAAAATACTAATGCTAATGTCAGATTAGAATACAAGGTTCCAAGATTTCCTGAAACAAAAAACCTATGATAAGAGGCAGAACTGAAGGCAAAACCAAGAAAGCAATAACAATGTGCTGAACTCAGATGTATCATTGCCCTGTTCAGCTCTTCCAAAACTTCACCTAACACAATCTCAACAAATAATTTGTTTGAGTCTTTTTCCAGAAAAACAATTTTCCAGAATATTATTCCAGAAAAACAATTTTCCAGAATATTATTCCAATATGCAAAATTCAGTTTGAATAATTTTTACTGGCAAGATAGTATTATGTGTGTCAATTAGTGTAGCACCTTCATGAGAATGCACAGAAAACTGTAAACAAGAAGAAGCCAGGGTGGAAAAAATCAAAACATTAAAAAAAACCTATTCAAGCTATGGATGCACAGTGTGTGGGCTTTGTTGCCAGCCAAATATGTGGAGAGCAGGTTTTCATGTCAGTTGTGGAAGAGTCACATCAGACACTAGTCCTATTAGGCAAAACTTTCTCAGCAAAGGCAGGCAGTGTTCACTGCTTAACCACAGCTACATCAGCTCTATTGCCTACTCAAAATCAAATACTATGCTTTCAGAATAAACAGGGACTTGCACAAAAACACCAAATAATTGTAATTTGAGTAGGTCAGATGAAAACTTCTCACTGCTCCTGATTACATCCAAAATCACCTCAATCTGCTCTGTGAAACACAGACATCTTTTTATAACAATCTCTTTCAATCTCTTTTTAAGTAATTAACCATGTATTACCTAGGAGCTGTGTGCAAGAAGGACACTTGCAAATATTCCTGCTTTTCCTGGCTCTTCAGTTGTTTTATGATACTGTTTGGCTGTGGAGGAAATTGTATTATATATCCAAATGCACAGTTGTTTTAAAGCAATTTTCTGAACTCAGTTTCTGAATACATAAACATATGCAGAGGGCTTTGGATACAGTAATAGGATTAAGCATAAAAGATAAAAATAGATCAGGAGATTGCTTCAAATGGACTTGAACACCTCACCATCTAGGGCAAGAGCGTGAATGTGCACTGCCCTGGCTGCTGGACACACAGACCCTCAGCTGACACCCTCTGTGTGTGGGATTGGCTCCTTTCTCTTCAGCTGTATTCACTGTATTTGCCCTAATTTGTGTTTTGGTGGGTGAGCATCTCACAGGGCCATGGATGCTGGGCAGCCACACAACACCCAAAGCCCATAGAAAAGAAACCCCAGGAGCTATGGGTATCCTTGGGGCATGGAGCTGTGTTCCTTAGGGAACCCCAGGAGCTATGGGTGTTCCTGGGGCATGGAGCTGTGCTCCTTAGGGAACCCCAGGAGCAATGGGTGTCCCTGGAGCTGTGTTCCTTAGGGACAGAACACTTTCAGGACACTGGAACCCAGACATGAAGTGACATCAGCAGGCAGTAGGAGTCAGTGCTGAGGATCTATGGTGTACCAAGGTAATCATGTAGACAAGTTTGTACTCTGCATACACACTGATAGAAATAAACCCAAGTGCCTGGGCAGAGAATGCAGATTTTTGAGTTCTCAGAACATCACTTTTATAACTTAAAAGATTTTACTAGAGAAAATTAGACCATTATAAGTTGATGTGGACAGAAAGTTTGAGCCTGATCTTTAGCCTTGACCCTTCCTCCCATCAGTAAGCATAGGAGAGGAAAACAAGTGGAATTTGTCCAAAAGTTGTTAAACCAAAAATCCCCTTCAGACAACTGCTGCTCCAGACTGAACATGTCACTGAAATGGTGTCCCTGAGATGATGTGACTGCAAATGGCACTTTGGGGCTCAGGCTGCAGACAGTGGCAAGTGTTTACCGGACATAGTCAAGTATCAATCAGCCTCCTGTACTTCCTTATATATCTCTGTTCATGACCCTCTTTAGAAAAGCAGCTATTTTATCTATATCTATCTAGTGAGCTACACAGTCTCTCATAACCATCTGTGGAGAATCTGCAGGTGTTAAATTAGCTGCAGGAGGATGCCCATATGTTTCCTGCATACACTAGACACACATTGAGAAATATAACCAAAAATGAAGCCATTGCAGATTGCACACACTTAAGGCTAAAGAGCTCAAGCCAAGATCTTGAAGTAAAAATGTACATGGATGAGATGTAATTTACTGTGATTAAGACACAGCAAAGAAGAAATGCAGTTTTCATTTTCTAATGTAGTTTCTTGGGCTGATATGGGAACATGGTTCCCTGAGACACTGAGCAGTCTCAAACTGCTGGCAACAGGACTTTGGGCTGCTCAGTATTTGCCAGGATCAAGCCTTTGCATTCATTTCATACACTTTTTCTTTTGCAATTGGTAGATTTACTTATGATTTATATCCTTGTATTGTATATGTCAGAGTCAGCAATTGCATTGCAGTTACTAATGGGAGTTATTTATTATTACTATATATACAAAGAGCCAAAAAGTAACAAGTACCTTCCCCGGCTTGGTCTGAAGGCAATTGGAGAACTTTTCTATTTGGTATAAACCAAATGGGTAAAAAATGAACAAGGATCGATTTTCTAGGATAAGCACAATGAAAAGGCCTTATGTTTTACATATAGATACACATATTCATACTGTTTTCTGTAGGCATAGACACAGACTAACTATCTTACTACTTCTCAGAATCCTGAATACAGATCTGTACATCTGCCTGGGAATACTGCCATTTTCACATTTTTTTACAATCCAATATATACTAATCCAATATTTGTGAGCATAAATTAAGATTAATCAACTATCTACAGCAGAACTGTGTCAGTCGAGTGTTCCTTCCAGACTTCCCCCCTCCACCAAACAGTATAGCTGGGAGTAGAGAAGACCCTCAAGGCTTGACAAAGCTTTTTATACGTGAGCAGGAGTCCACACTTCTCCAAAAACCCTTAGAAATTCAAGCAAGCTGTTACTCATGAGCAATTTTCTCTGTGCACAGAAAAAACGTGATTGATCCAGAGGATCCAAGGTGCGCCAGGCTGACTCTCACAGGACAGATGGTCACGGTGCCTCCAGAGGAAGTAGAATTTGCCAAGCAAGCAATGTTTTCCAGGTCTGTATCTAACATGCACGTAGAAGAGTGCAACCCATGGGTTTGAGACAAATACACAAATGTGGCCTTTTGGTACAGAAAATCTGAGAAATAACAAGCCTGACCTTTGCTTTGGGGCCATGAATCATTCTGGCTTCTGCATGGCTTGGAATGACAGACCTTTTAACTCTTGAGGAAATTAAATATGGAAATGCAGTTAGTTAGTGTTGGACTCTGGTAAGGCATACATTTTCTAATCTGGGGATTATGAAGATATGTCACTGGTTCCAAGGAGAGATTCCATAATTCTATGGTGTATTTGTTATCTTTACAGATTCTACCCCACTTTATGACAGGTAGTGGACTCAGAGACAGAGCAGAGGTCTGCTGCCTTTGGGTTTACAAACATTTTCAGGGTAGAGCTTACAAGTTTAATTACATCTCCTAATGTCCTAGCTGTTTCAAAGCCATAGCACTGACTGAACAGTCTTCTTTGAACAGATGCAAGCACAACCCAGATGTGTAGCACACACACAGGGTGTGCTCCCATGCGCTTCAGTGGGTTTCTAGAATTACAGCGTGAAAAGCCTAAACCTTACCTGGAGCACACACCATCCACACAGGCTGCCAGGGATTGTCCTCCAGGTGCACCTTGCCTGGTCAGTCAAATACTGCTGGGAAACTGGGATGAGCTTGGATCCAAAACAGCCCAGAGATGATATTCCTTCTGATCTACAGGATGGGGTCAGGGTGGGACTCTGTCAGTGTGTGCCACCAATAGCAAAAATGGGACCATGAACAGATGGAGCCATATTGACACACAAGCCTTCTTTACAAACTTCACAGGAATTAGATTTCCATGTGATCCAGAGTCTACCAGCGCCTCAGCAGAGGATGCTCTGCTGTCAGGGTGCAAGAGTCAGAATGATAAAGTGAGGGCTGTTGGGGCACATCCAGTGCCAGCAGCATCTGATGCCACTTACCAGCCCCAGAATCATAGGTGCTCAAAGGGACAACTCAGAAAATGGTAGGAAACACCATTTTCCCAATGAGAGGGAAACCAAGAGGTTGCCAAACCAAGCACCTCTGCTGAAGGGTCCTCTGCAGGAGCAGAGGGCAGTGAGCCAACCCTGCCCAGACTTGCAGCACTTCCCACCCATGTTCCTGTGAACACTGACTTGAACTGTGGTATCCACTCTGCATCACTGCTGAGCTTCCCACAGCTACACCTGCTGGGGTTTGGGGAGCAGACATCTGCACCCAGTCAGGGAGAATCTGTGTGACCTAGCTGTAAGGGAGACCAGAGAAATGAGAGAAAAATACAGGATGAGAAGGCTGTCAGAGGTGACAGCTTGCAGAGACAATGCTCTGCCCAGTTTTATTAGCCCTCCCTCTGAACCACAATTGCTACCAAAGATGTAGTATTTTCAGGATGCTCTTTCCTTCAAACAGATACAAGCACAACCCTGACATACATTCAAAGAGTCTTCTCTAACTATTTTTCACTTACTCAGAGACCAAACAACACCTATCTTCAGAGATAGGGTTCTGCAGTGGGGGAAGGTGGTGATGGCTGGCTGCCTGTGTGGCAGTTCTCCCCCTGACTGGGGTGAGGAAAATCATAAAGCTTACATCAAGGAAGGGCCAAAAAGATGAATGGTGGTTGTCATATCTCAGGTTTCACTCTAGATGAGCACACCAGGCTGAAGAAAAAAGCAGACTATGCATATGCTTTGGCACATCTTCTAATATTTTTTTTGCTTTTCTTTGTCCCTCCAGGCACCCAGTGATAAGAAAGTGGCCTCGTAGCTATGAGTGGTTCTTCATGAAAATGAACATTGAACACATCTGGCTTCAAAGCTGGTATGGAGAAGTTTCTCCCATTGCAGTAGAAGAGTATTTAAAAGCGGTTCCAAATAAAGGATGATTGAATGGGCTTTGAGATAAAAATCTCCTGAGTTTCCTTTCCAAACACTTTTAAAATTTCATGGTAGATGGTTTCTTTACAGTGAAATTTTTCTTCTTCTCCCAAAAGGCTTTAAAATAGCCCTGTGTCACATGGAGTGGAGTGAAAATAAATCAACACAGACTTTCAAATTATAAAGGAGAGGTGGATATTAGCCCTACCCTGCAATGTACAAACTTGTCATTTCAAGCAGGCAATGCGTCATCTGAAATGCTGTTTTTAAAATGCCTTGTATCTGTTTGTTTTGACTTCTATTGCTGTGCACCCGCAGGGAAACTACACTATGTGCTAAATATAATGTTCTGAATTGCAGAAAATGCAAATTGCCTACTCAGAACCCTCTATGCATTGTGGAGGTATTACTGTTGCTTGGTCTCTCTTGATTTGTAAGTACTATAAGAGAAATTTAATAGCTGCAAATTTAGGTATTTAAGTTTAAAAACAAATTATTTGCTAAAGCTGTCCTCATTTACTAACTTCACTTTTCTATGTGTGCTTTTCCCTAATTAGATAATTTGATGTTTCACTTGGAAATTGAGTAAAACTTCTCTCTTTAGTAGAAAAAATGCAATCAGTTCAAAAAACACAGCTCCATATAACTTGTCTCTGACACAAAGCTGGTTAAACGCATTAAAGGTCAAAATCAAATCAGCCCCACAAGGATTTTCTCAATACAAGTATAAACATTCTCCTAAGAAGAATTTAAGTAAATGTTCTCAGCTAGCCTGTTCCTGTTGAGACAGGGAAAGTATTTTTAATAGCCTGTAGTCCCAATTCTTTTTTGCCTCCCTGCTCCAGCCACTGCTTTATTTTTAACTGGCTTGTGCAACTGATTTTTTGTAAGCCCTCACTATCTCACTGAGGGGTGGAGTCTGTTCCTTAACTCTGTTTCCTCACCAAGATTTAAAGGGCTCATTCATGCATTTATTTTTTAAAGAAGCCCAAAGTTGGTAGGTATTTCAGGTCATGAAAACTGCGTTCTTGGTGTGGAAAGTGCAAACTTTGTTGCAAACACATTATGTGTGGGCTTCTCATGTGGTAATACTAAAAGAGTTCAAAGGTATTTTAATCACTGTCAGCTCTTTCTCTAGATGTCCTCCTGGTAAACTTATTCTGCAGTTCGTAAGGGTATCACAGAAAGAAAATTCCTATGGCTAACCAAGTCACCACACAGTTTGAAAATTATGTGGCTGCTCTCCCTGTTACATTAAGAAGGAGACACATTGAGATGGGGTTTATGTGCCTGTGGGAAAGGTCTTCCAGTATCCTTGGGAGAGCACCTGAGCTCTGGTCATCAACCTGCACCACATCTGGGCTGGGGAGGAGCCTGGGTGAGTGCCCTGATCTTGTACAGGTTAATCCCTGGGCAGAGCTCAGAGGCAGCTGCATGAGCTATGATCAGCTGGAAGCCAATTAAGTGTAGCTGAGCTTATTTTGGCTCGGGCATGGAGAGAGAGACAGTCATTCCCAGAAGAGCTGGGCACCATGCTGGTGTAACTGTGAGAGGCCCCAGAGTGCCCAACTTAGCCCTAGGGCGAGTCCCAGCCCCCCAGCTATCACTACTATTCCTCATACTCTGTAAGAAGCCAAGGCAAATGAGGGGGGAAACCTTGTTTAGGCACTCACTAAAGCTTTTTTATTCTTGTCTCATTGCCAGAGACTTTGTTAGCTGTGCAGATCTTTTGCCGAGGTAATTACACAAAAGGAGGAAGTGTCCTGCCTGAATCTATTTCCTTTTTTTTTTTTTTTTTGGCAGATGAGCTGCATTTTCACATTTGAGTTCGCCCCTTAATCTTGCATTGTGAACTACTGAAGCAAGATGGCCTGTTCTATACAGATTTATAGAATACCATCAAGTGAAAACCTCCTTGATTCCTATAATTTTGCCATGGAGATCTTTGTCCACTATGGATTTGATGACTTTGTCCATTAGGATTAATGGGATTTTAAAACTGTGTTCAACAGGAAGAATACCAGTCCTTGTAGGAGAATTTCAGAGGTGTAACATTCCTGTAAAAGCATAATTACATATTTCCTTATCCCAGTTCACTACTATTCCCAGAGAAACCTGAAACCCCCATTCTGCCCCCCTAAATACACACAGATTAAGCAAATCCAGAGTACGATCTTAATGTTTAAACAAGCTGAAGAAGTGAGGAAGAATTTTAGAAGTGCTACTGTTACTATACTCTCAATTTCCCATTCACATCCCCTGGCAACAGTGACATGGTCCTATGTCCTATCCATTACCTCATTAACAAGCCCTGAAGCAGTAAGGGGTTGTGTCAAGAAGGTTAGAAGAGCTTTAATAGTTTAAGAAGTCAGTGTGTACTAAAAAAGGTTTTGAATTTACAACACACTGCTTGTTATAGGCTGCCTCCCTGCACACACAGATTAATTGGAGTCGCTTCTGTATTGTAAAATGACACATTCATCAAGATGATTTTCTGTATGGACCTGCTGTGAGGCTCTTGACAGAACCTTAAAAAATGAAATGCTTGTGACATGTAATGTGACAAAGGGGCCTCATGCCTTATATCACCTGTTCTCTTTTCATGTTTCTTTAACCCAAGGAATAACTACCATGTGAGTCCTTGAAAGTCTGTAGAAATTCATAGAAATTCATCAAAAATACAACCTGCAGATTTTGAGTGGAATTACAGACCAAAAAAAAAGGGTGGTGACAGTAGTTTATTTGAGCTTTATATTATTATTTATAGGCTAGTTTTAACTTTTCTTCAAACAGACAAATGTCTCAAATAATATTGGTCATCACGTGGTAAGTAATGTTTATTGAAGCTTTTAACTCAGAGTTGTATCTCAAATACCACAGTAAAAATTTCCTTAAGACTGTAGAGTCTGATTTTGCTTCAGCTCAATATCAATAATCTCATTTATTTATTGAGCTTTAATTATTGGCTCAAACAAGCATTTTTTTAAGTCTTGACAAGCTCTTCTGTATTTATTAAGCATTTCAACTAGCTGATGTGTAATTTCCATGTGTTCTGTATTTTCCTTATTTCTGTAGCTTCCCCAAAAAAAAGGCTGTGCAACATGGTTAAAATTTTACCTGTGGTATTAGAATATTTAAAAGATGTATTTAGTAATTTCTGTATACTTGAAAAAAGAAAAATGATGTTGAAAAGTTGAGTTCTCACTTCTTGCTAATTTGGGCAAAAGAAATGCAGGTACATGATTTAGGCACAGCTATTTTGAACTGGTGTTCTTATTTAATCAAAGAATGTTGTTTCTAATGAAATTTTCATCACTTCAGTGATTGAAATGCCACCTGTCTCATTTCTGGATGTGTATTACAATTTGCAATGTACTTTGATTTCTAAAAATATTGAAAGTTGTTAACAAAATGGCCATGAAGAAATGTAAATAAAACAAATTTCAAAGCAGAAACTGTATAAGAATATTCTTCAGTATAGCATTTGCCAGAGTAACCCACATTGTGCAAACAATCATTACAATTTCTGTCTGATCTGAACATCTGGTTTGGTTTTTTCTCCCTGAGTTTTCCTGGACCAAGTTAATTTCTCTCAAAATTTTTGTGGGAACTGAGACTCCAATCTGCCTTTTCTCTGGGGAGAAAAGTCTAGTCAAGCACCTTTTATCGTTCCTTCACCTTCTCATTTATTGTGTTCTTTGCTTTCACTGTGGCACTTAAATGTCACTCTTAAAGTTCACTCTTCTTTTTTGCATGTAGGAACTGAGCACTCATCTCTTCGGTGTGCATTAATAGTGTTTTGGAAGTTTCCTCAGTGCTATTTCTTCCCTTGCCAGCCCAGCTCTTACAAGTTCTTGTTACAGCTTGTTCTCTCCACTTTCCTCTGATGCGTTTTCTTAAGCCAAGTCTGACAATTTACCTTCTCATCTTGTTTTCCCATACCATCTCCTTTCAACAAAATTCAAGCTCTCATACTAAAATTCATATCCAATAAAGAATAGAATAGAATAGAATAGAATAGAATAGAATAGAATAGAATAGAATAGAATAGAATAGAATAGAATAGAATAGAATAGAAGCCTATGTTAGGATCAAATAACAGCCTGTGTTTCCTATTTATACTTTAAATCTTTCTCTTGCCACTAGTTGGACTGCATTTACTGTAAGAACTGTGACCACAGTTCCCTCCCCTACACAAATCTCAGTCAACACCAGCTTCGTATTTCCAGTAATCTGTATTTTTAAAAGAACACTTCCTGCAGCTGGTTTCTTCCTTTTTACTTACCGTTTTTACATTTAACCCATTTCTGGAGTGATGTTGATTCTGACTAAACTATGTCTTTAATTTACTTACAAAAAACCAACCAAACAAAAATCAAAACAAAACAAAAAATCAACAAACCCCAACCAAACCCTAATTTGAACATTTTTGGAATCACTGAAGTACTTTGAGATTTTAATCTTCTTTTTGCTAAATACTGAATTTGTGCTTCTTCCAAATTGTGTTGCTTGTCATCGTTCAATAAAGTTCACCTTTTACCTGCCTTTTCACTGCTACCACCTCCACATGCCCTCTCCCATCTAACATCTTGCTAGATGCTCCTGTTTCCTTCTCCTCTTTTCCCTAACTTTTTACATTAACTCTAATTTTTCTATCTTCTTCCCTCAGCTTCTAAGTTCTCTACAGCCCATTCCACATTACTTTGTCTGCTCAGTCTTGTCTGTCTTCTTGATTTTGCTACTTTAATCTTCTTGTCACTATGATCAGTGCCTTTGGAGAGGATCCTAACACTGACAAGTCTTATTTTGGGAGAATGCTAGAGAGCAGCTTCAAGGAATACTTTGGGTTTGAAGGTATTTGTTTCTTTGTTGGTTGAAACACTGCCTCTGGAACAAAAATGGGAACCTATTGGCCTTGATGCTGACACATAAAAGGGCAGTTCATCAAGCTCGTGGGTTTTCCCTGTTATATCTTCTGCACAAAGTATTCCAGGCTCTATTAGGCCCTGCCTGTGTCAGCACCCACAACATATAATCATGATTAGGAAGGACATCAACAAAGTTTGACAATGTTGTTCAACAACATAGGTAACAGTGCAGGAGCACACAACTGTTGTCTTCTGAAGGAAAACAACCATTCAAAAAAGGCTGGTAGTTGGTGGAAACAAGTGATTCGTTTTAAAAGCTGGGAAAAGATACAGATGTGTTCCATGAAAAAAAGAGGGGAGACTCTGTGTTTATTCAAGAAGAGGTGTATGTCAAATACTTCTATTTAAGGGAAAAAAAGTCCATAGAAAGATCATGTTTATTCGGTACCTTAATACCTTAGTTGTACTTTTTCCTCCAGACACGGTACAGACCCCGTCACCATTTTTCATGGCGCTGGAACTTATGTTCATTTCCCTCAGCACGGGCACTGTGTGTATCTGACCGCGCGTAGCTCCGTTCCCTTTCCCCTGCATGTCTGTGCACCGCTGTGTTCTTTGCTGGCTTCCGGCCACCTCTTGTTCCCTTGTGTCCTTGCTTCTGGCGCTCCAGCCTCCCTCCACGCCTCAGGAAGCCATGCTGCACCCTCGAACAGGGCGAGGTGTGCCCCGGAGGGTGCGGTGGTGACTCATGTAGCTTGACGCGTGTGTCACTGCCGGGGCTGCTGTGCAGGACTCGGGGCCGCCCCATGGCGGGGTCCGAGGCCGAGCAGCCCGCGAGGGCTCGGTGGCGGGGGCAGGCGGGTGCGGGCAGGGGCAGTGGCCGCTCCGGGCCGGAGCCGCCTCAGGTTGATCCCCGTGGGCACCGGTTGCGTGCAGAAGGCCGGGGCCGAGCTGTGCTCCTTAAACAGCCCCAGCAGACCGGGGGCAATGGCCACCCTGGCGTGTATTAGAAATAGAGTGGCCAGCAGGGCTGGGGAAGTAATTCTCCTCTTGTACTCAGCACTGGTGAGGGCACACCTCGACGCTGTGTCCAGTTCTGGGCCCCTCAATTCAAGGATATGGAGGTGCTGGAATTGGTCCAGAGAAGGGCAGTGGAGCTGGTGAAGGGGCCGGAGCACTCGTCCCATAAGAGGCAGCTGTGGGAGCTGGGTTTGTTTAGCCTGGAGAAAAGGAGGCTCAGGGGACACCTTGCCATTCTACAACCACATGAAAGGAGGCTGTAGCCAGATGGGGGTCGGCCTCTTCTCCCAGGCAACCAGCGACAGTACAGGAAGACACAGCCTGAAGCTGCACCAGGGTGGGTTCAGGTTGGATACTAGGAGAAATTTCTTTACAGAAAAGGTGTAAAACATTGAAGTGAGCTGCTCAGGGAAGCGGTGGAGTCACCTGGCCTAGGAGTGTTTAAGGAAAGACTAGACGTGGGACTGAATGCCATGGTCTAGCTGACATGGCGGTGCTCGATCACATGTTGAATTCGATTATCTCAAAGGTCTTTTCCAACCCAATTGATTTCAGACTCTGTAGCTGACGCCGGGGCGGCCCCGAGCCCCGCGCCGCCATTCGCCCCGCCCGCCTACCTAGTGTGGTGCCGCCCCCCCTCTCCCGGCATGCCGCGGGGCGGGGCGGCCTGGCCCGGCCCCCTGCTCGCCCTCAGCCGCGGCGGGCGGGCTCCGCCCGGGGCGGCACCGCGGGTACCTGCGCGGCGCGGGGCGGCCGCGGGGCAGAGTGCGCCGACGGCGGCGGTGGCCGAGCGACCTGCGCACGCTTCTCCTGTCCGCGGCGGGGGCGGCCGGGCCATGGTGCGTCGCGCCCGGCTGGCGCTGGTGGCGGCGGCGCTGGTGGCGCTGGGGGTGCCGCCGCCGCCGTGCGCGGGCGCCCGGGCGCTGGAGTGGTACACGGCGTGGGTGAGCACGGCCTACGTGGAGCCGCTCAGCAACCGCACGGTGCACGGGAGCACGGAGAGCGGCCGCTACGGGGACAGCTCGCCCAAGGAGAGCGCTCGGGGCCATGTGGGCATTCCCCGCGGCGCCTCGCCCCGCCACATGGAGGGCTGCGCCCCCGACACCGACTACGACGTGCCGCTGCCTCCCGGTGGCCGCGGGACCCCCGAGGGCGACCCGCCGACCTGGATCGCCCTGGTGGCCCGCGGCGGCTGCACTTTCAAGGACAAGGTCACCAACGCGGCGCGGAAGCGGGCGGCCGCTGTGGTCATCTACAACGAGGCCCGGTTCGGCAACAGCACCGTCTCCATGTCCCACCTGGGTGAGCTCCCCGCGCCCGCCGAGGGGTCGGGGGGATCGCTTTGTGTAACGCCGGCCCGCATCGCTGATGCGGCTCTGCGCGGTGAGGAGTGGGGATGTAGGGAGGCAGAAATCCCTGTAAAAACGGTACAGAAAACCGGGATTTTGTTTTCTCTTCCTGTAAGCCACGCTAGGGAAAAAGCCGGGACCGTCTTCTGTCTCCCAAGTTACGGGCCGGTGTCAGGGAGGAAATGCGGCACAGCCATCGGGACCGGCAGCCGTGTGGCAGGCTGGGGTGGGAGGCTTGGATTTCCTTTAGCGGTGCCTTCTTGCCTGGTACCCTCTGGCAGGATGGCTCCAGCCGTCACAGGTAGGCCGCTTTCTGCAGGCCGTGGGGAAACGCAGCAGATATCCCGGAGATGCCTTCAGGTGCTTTTGAAGGTACAGCTGTAGCTATCTGAGGATAGCTTTAGAACAGGCTTTGTTGTATTAGCTTCATCGTCCTCTCCTGCGCAGGTCTGTTGCGAGTGAGAGGGGTAAGCATCAGGTAATCCTTAAACGCTCGCAAATGCATTAGGAAAACTGAATGCTGGAGAAGGATGTTGGCTTGTCTCAGCGTACCACTGCTGCTGTGTCGCCTGCAGAAAGGTTCTGTGATTTTTGCTGATAGGAATCCAGGTGTTTTGTCACCACAGTCCCCGCTTGGGCTGACGACTTGCTGAATTTTTATGGTTATGACAATATTAAATGCTTAAATCAAGAGGTGAAAAAAGCCTCAAAACTTGGCAGTTAAATCTATTTGCTTTTGTAGATTTTTGAAAAACTAGGAGGTCCTCAGAGGAGGATGTGAAGACAAGGCAAACTAAGTTAAAAATTCTGTCAGTATGTGCTTCACATGCTTTTGCTACAATGAGTTTATTAGTGCCCGGGCTCTCATTGCTAGTTATGAGGAAGGGAAGGACCAGGGACTTGGATGAAGTAAAGCCATAATGTGTTTCTAAAGGAAGCAAACTTATTTTCTTAGTGTAGTAAGCTGAAAATCTCAGCTAGGGAGCTGTTGCTGTGTTGCACGTGTGATCTATCTATTGCAAAACACATCTCTCCTCTTGGAATACCCAGTGGCACCAATTGGGGGATTGGAATCATGGTTTTTGTTCTTAGCCTGATGCTTGCTTGAGATCAGGCTGGCCCATTTCGTATTCTTAGTTCACTGTGAACGTGGAGGTGAGATGCTAGATAAAATGAACCTTTGGTTTTGATCCTAGGTGGTGATTAAGATACTTTGTT